CATATATGTAAGTATGTAGGTATGTACCGAAATTACAGGTGTTTTAACTGCGATATAACATGAACAATTACATATGTACATCCATGTACTATAAGCTCAGCGACCAATTGTATGTACATACAAATAAAATGAACCAAATTGTCAACGACAGTGATTTTATCAATAAAGTTCAGCACGTGTACATAATATCTGAAAGCTCTTTTCTAGAGACTCATGTTCCGTTATATGCTTCCAAACACAACACTGTTGTTATGAGAATATTCTTACAAAACAACTTGACAACAAGCTACAAAAAATGGAAATATGTCGAGCAAATAGGGAAATATAAATATTTATTTGTAAAATCGACAGACAACTGGCTCCAGCTTTATCGCCAGTAGATGTTGAGCAATTTTGTAATAACTCTGGAGCCAAGTGTGAGAAACTTGTTGTGAAGTACATACAATGTATTTGAGGTGATGCCTGACAGAATATGAACAAAACATAAGGGTGTAGCTTAAACAATACAGGATAAAAACCTAAACTCACAAGTAATTCTTCTCTTTTTATATATATAGTCGGATGGTTTTCGAAAAAGTATAATATAATAATTATATTATCTTAATTTCAGAAATTATTATTTATTATCTTCTAGAAATGAAAATTCCTTGAATTTGAATAACAAGTTAGAAACTAATTAATTCTTAAAGTCTCATAAAAACAACTAGTTTTAGATTTTAAGCGATATGCTATGAACGTCCCCCACCATTATTATAAATGTATGTACATATGTTTTAATCATGACTGGAAAATTTATTGATTAGAAAGTGAAAATCAAAACTGAGTTTGTTTCATATTACAAGAACCACCCTCATGTATGCACAAAGATAAATATTCAGAATGTCGAATTTGATACAGTAAGGAGCGAAGGTGAAAGTTCAATGAACAGTGGGAGGGCAATCGAAACTAGGTCACATCGATTGATGGGTAACAAATAATTATGGAATACAAATTTATGCGAAAAACATGACTTCGAATGCATAAAATTTTAAGCAAGTTCTTTTTTTTTAATGTTGCTGACTTATGAAAAAGAAAATTTAATAGTTACTGAAATATTGAATGATTGAATGCGGAATGATAAAAGCAAGCAGTGAATTGGCTGACATATGTACATAATATATATGTACATACTATGAATGTAATTGCTAACACAGGAAACAGAGTTCAGGCTGGATTATATTACCGTACAATGGACTGGATTGGTTAGATCATAGCAGAAAGGAGGTTGCTGGGTCGATGAGAGTAGCCAATTTTTCCAAGCAGAAAATATTAGAAGTTTGTGAGGAAAATAATTTTGTTCGGCCATAGTTATTAATTCTACTAATTTATAAATGGGTCTCAAAACGGTCCTTTTTAGAGATTGTTTAGCAATGACTCTGCTCTCTAGGCTGATTATTTTAATGTTGCTTGTTGTAATAGATGTTACAGTCGTTCGAGTAACGTCGATGGGGATCAAAGCCAGATTAATGATGTCATGTGAACTATGTACATACATATGTACATATGCATGTAATTATATTGGAAGGTATGGACAACGGGCAAAAGACTAACCAAAAGGTTTCTCACAGATGATAAATCACTTACATATGTATGTATGTACATAAGTACATGTATGTACATAAGTATATAAATCTTCCACGTCTGTTTTACTTTGACTTGACCAATTTGGTGGTTCGAATTGAACAATGGCAAGTGTTAAGGGGGGAGTCTGCTTTAGAGGCTTCAAAAAATCGATTTTTTTGAGGATTTGTTTGGGAGGGAAAGATAATTTTTGAATACGAAATCTTTGATATTTTGCCTTTGGGAAGCAATTGCCCGATACATCTCCCATGTGCATTTTTCGGACGGCGGGCAGGAGGCAGATCGCAATTTCTATCGGCAACAAAAAAATCAAAAATCACATTCACATTTTGTAATTAATAATAATTCTAGTTAAAATTCCAAAAAAAGTGTAAAATAAAAAAATTAAAAATTGAAAAAAGTTTTTTGGTTTTTGTCCATAAGAAATTTTACTTAATGTTGTTTAAAAATATGTTCAAACTTGATTTTCTTAGTTTATTTAATATAATTTAAATAGAAGATACTTCAATGTCAAAGATAATAAACTTTGCCCCATATTCCATACGACGTTTAGTCGCCAATTAAGGACAATCGTAAAAATGAAAAACCTAGAAATCGCGCGTCAAGTTTGTTCGCTTTTCGCCCAAGCGCACATACATATATAGCTTCGATAATATTTCGAATTCCCATCTATAATTTTGGGGACATTCTCTCAGATAATTTTTAAAGAGATAAAAAAAAAAAAAAAAAAAAAAAAAAAAAAAAAAAAAAAAAAAAAAAAAAAAAAAAAAAAAAAAAAACGATTGTTTGAAGCTTCCAAAACGGCTACCCCATTAATAAAGATTTCGTATACGAATTTATTGATCTTAGTTAGCAATTTGGCAAACAAAACGTGATAAATATGAAAAAAAAACTGAGAAAAATAAAAGTTGGAATAACTTATTAACGAAATACATTAGAAATAAAATCCAATGTGGGACACGTTTACGGTGTGAAGAAGAACGCGAAGCGAACGGATTTTTTTTCCTTTATTTGTTTCAGTATTTTACATAAAACCTTTATAACGAAGAAAGCAATGAGTACACTCATGTAGCTGATACATTTATGGCACGAGGATAGACAAAAAATTCCAGTTGCGATTTAAGATGAGTCAAGTTAGCACAGTTCGCCAAACACCAGATACCCTTAGAGACCTACTTCGTTTTACTATTTATTTTCATAGGGTGAGAAGTAAAGTACATATAGCTGCGAGCAGTGAAATTGTAGTGGGTGTTAGAGTTTTACATACCTGTGAGTTATGCAAAATTCTAAACAATTTTAACATCAATTGAAATGSAAAAGTTTATCATATTTCCCTGGCTACGTTTATTAATAAAAATATTTTAATTTGAATGGGTGTAAGATATATTTATTCATAAAGTTGTGTTTATATGTATATGAAATTTGATGGGAGCAGTAAAATAGTAGTAAAGTAATACATTCTTTTTTTAAACTGAAGGATTTTTGGAAGTTGCGTCTATACGAGATATTAGTACTTGGTAGCATGACCACGATTTTTAATAACAGCAATACAACGCCTCTTTATAGAATCTACGAGACTCTGGCATCTTTTTAGTGGTATGTTCTGCCATGCTTGCTGCACTACGGTCCACAACTCATTGTTGTTTTTGGGTTTGTCATTCCATACGGCTTTGTTAACGTCTGCCCAAAGGTTTTCAATAGGATAGAGGCCAGACAATTGAGCTGACCTATCCATCACATAAATTCCATTGACCCGAAACCACTCCTTTGCCACCCTACGGGTATGCTTCGGGTCATTATTCTGCTGAARTATCCTTTTCAGCGGGATGTCCTCTTCAACAAATGGTATCATAATATACTGCATTATATCCACGAATTTGTGTCGGTCCGTTATGCTAGTAATCTTGTGAATTGGGACTGCACAAAAAAATTGGGCCTGTAAGAAAAACACACCAAACCATGAAATTCAAACCGCCAAGCTTCATAGTTTTTGTGCTGAATCTGGGGTCGTTAGATACTGACGGGACCCTTTACCGCCGTATAGAAAACCTTTCGACACGTCTGTCCACAAGATGTTGCGCCATTTCTCAATCGGCAAATTCTCAATCGGTCCCTTGGCAAATTTAAGACAACTTGCTGTATGATTTTTTTTAATAACGCTACTTATCGATGACTGCGGACATATAAATTATGTTCATGTAGAAGTATTCTCACTGTATGAACACCGTAGGCCAAGTTCAATTCATTCCGAATCTCCATAGCTGACATTCTAGGTCGAGTCTTGGTACATCTTACATCTATTGGTGTAAAATTCTCGGAAAGAATCTATATTGCGCCCCTTTTTTCGTATTTTTTTTTATAATTAATTGCATTGTGAGTCGTTGTGGCTTAACACCCTACAATTCTTTCCACTCCCTTGTAGGATATACCTTTGTTTATGACAGATTGAATACATTCTCGTTTTTCGTCACTGTAGTGCTTCCCGCGGCCCAAAAAATAGTGCAAAGTCATATTTTTTTTGCTTTTTGCATTGAATAATTAATAAAAGGTCCTGAAACTTACTTTTAGTTTGATATAATTAAATTTTTTTATTAAAAATTATCTGTTTGCAATCATCTCATCATTCACTACTATTCTATTGCTCGTTCATAAAAACAGATATCCCAATAAAATTGGCTTTAAAAAAGTAACGGTAAGTAATTCACGCTTATTGTTGTATATAACAGGACCGTTATACTTCAGAGAATATAACTAAAATAATGATCGACGGCAATATCATAAAATAAACAAAATTTAAAGCAAAGCTCACTTGGCCAATAGTCACTACTATTTCAATGCTCGCAACTGTACATATCTGTGTACAAGTATATATGTATGTACATATTTATTTTTAGTCTAACCTTATAGCAGGTGCTGAATGTTAAGAAAGTGATTTACTAACTGTTGGTGCAGCTTAATAAATGTAATGGCTTCAGTGAGTCTTATTATGAAGAAAGCCCTGCTTGTTTCGTAGATAAATACGATTATAATACAAAACGCATAATAGGAAATGTACACGTAATACATGACAAATTAAATGTTCCCCCGCTTGACCACTTGCCTACCCAAAATTTGTGGTTACTTTTCCGTCAGTCCATTAAGTGACGTCATTCAAGTGCGTGCGTACTTGACGTAAATATAAATTTATTGCGTATAATACATATATGTACATACATAGTATATGTATATGTTTGTACATACATTATATACACAAAGGCTTTGGGACCTTCGTAAGCAAATAAGCATACAAAAAAAAATTTTCTTTGCTCAGGTTAAGTAATAAATAGTGCATATTATGTTTACTCCGTGCTAATTACCCCTTTATAATGAAATAAACTTACCGCACCTCCGCAAACAATACACACACCCCGTTGGTATTTCTGGTACGTAGATAATTTAGCTGATTGATGAAATGGTTTTTTTGTTATTTATTACGATCGAATAATACAAATACGATTATTTCGAAGCACTTTACCTAAAGACCATATATTTTTTCTAAAAACATGAATAATTCCATTTAATTACATTTTATTGGCACTAATTTTATTACACTTTTCATTTCTTTCCATTTCATATTTTGCTTAACACTTGCATACGTAAACTAATTCACTTTACAGAGCACAATTTAATTTTTTCAAATTCACTTATTAATAACACCGATCACCGATTAAACGCAGTTTTAAATAATAAACACAAATTCTTGCACAAATCTTCTTTACTTTAACAATTGCCTGCGTACGCGAACAAAGATCCGAACACGTGTTTTAGCTGTTTACCGCACACGAAAATTTGTCATTGTTGACGGCGCTGCTTCGGCTTTGGTCATGCCCGTTCTTGCATAGCGAATCGTATTTTGTTTGTGCACTTTATTGGTATGCAAAGAAATCTGAATGCATTGTTTGTTTGCTCATGTATGTAGTTTTTGTTTTGCTGTCGAATGGTAATTTGTTTTCGCTTATACTCCGTATGAATAGATCCCAGCTGAAAAATGAGGTTGATATATTTTTGAAGGTTTATAATTGTAATTATTTGAATGAATTATAGAGTCACTGAGTTCTGAAAAAGTAGGAGCGAAAGAATAAAGTGTTTGAGTGGCTTAAAATAAAAAGTAATAAACAAAATATAATAATAAAGTAAAATTAAAAATAATATTAAAATTTTTTTTTCATAGTTTTCACTCTAAATTAACCATTTAAATGATTGAAAAAAAAAACCGACTGGAAACCACGTCTGTTTGCAATAATTTCTGTTTCTCATTACCTGATTGACCTAGATACATAAAAATCCTAATTATGTATACCCTAAATTCGTATTTAGACGAGTTAGGAGGACAATGCAGGGATGTATTCATTTGGTATGAACAAGGTATCTATGCGAAATTTGGCATAATCTTTATTTGATAAGGTATCTATGCGAAATTTGGCATAATCTTTAGTCATTTAGCATTGAGGCTGTTTCTTGCTAATTTTGGATTGCTAAAACAGAAAATGAAAAGTTTTCTAACACGTGGGATTTTTGTGTTGTAGTCAAGGGGTGTAGGAGTCAATCCACCACTTTTTACTAAAACGCCAAAAATTGATGTACATACTTACGTGATGAAACATTTTTGAGTGCAAATTCGTAATCAAGATAAATTCAACACCCCACACATGTAAATCTTAGTATATCTGTCGCAAATTTTTCCTTCAGGTTTCTTGAAAAGTGTTATTATTAATGCTTTGTTACAATCTTACAAAAAAATGTTCAGACCAGACCACTTTAATATATAGTTGTCATATAAACTGACCGATAAATGTCAAGATTAAAATCTGGTTCTAAAGAAAGAGAAAAGACTCAGAGTCGGTGATTCTTAGATATACTTATGTATGTACATACACACATATGTAAGTATGTATTTGTCAGGTGAAGATAAAATGAAAATGATTTTTGGAAATAGTTTCGATATTTCAAGACCTTCTGATATGTAAATTAGTAAGGGTGTATATGCTTTGTTCTCATCATAATGGTTCCATTGTCAACCTTCCTTAACGCTCGTACCAATAAACTTATTTTTGTAACTCCGACACAAAGAGCAAGCACGAGACAACACCGAATTGGTTATTTGCATGAGCATTTTAAATAAAAAGGGTGCGATCGAAGAGAAAAATTTTACATAAAGGGAAAATAATACGAGAAGCAACACTAAACTGTCATTATGCTGGTGATAGGTGAAGAAATGCATGTCCTATATTAACTAGTTTTCGCATCTTCGATCAGGTCGAAATAAATAAAAAAAAAACCGGTTTCTGACTTCTAAATACAAGGATCTGTATATGACTTACGGACATAGATCTGAGAGCACACTCCAATAATTTATTAAAAATATTTAAACCGATCGATGGATCGTGTATGCGAAATTCTACAAAGGAAAGTCATGTCATGAAAATTTTTAACTAAATAAAAATAACCTTGGTAAAGTTAATGAAATGAGTGACCTTTATTTTCTCAATAAGGTTATGCAACTAGTTACTACTGGGAATCTACTTTAAAATCGAAATCCTTTAAATAGAAAATATTTGGACGAAACAAATTCCCTTTCAGATGATTTACTGTTTCGGATATCGAGTATTTGAGGAAGTACAAATTGCATCAGATTAACAATGGCATCTAATCAAGCTTGACCTTAACTGGTCCATAGAAACTGCGTGAGTAAGGCGAATCGGTAAAGTATGTCTGGCGATTCTTATTATGGGAAAATTTTTACAGCATATCTTCTTGAAATTGTATGTTTCGAATAAAAATATAATTTTTAGAAGTGTTCAGGGGAGTCTATGTACTTTATCGCGAACTGCGTAGTGGCACAATGCTTTCGGAGAAGGCCATCCATCCAACTCTGTTAATAACGACAATAATCAGCAGTCAAATATGAGAGATCTTCTGCATCTTTCCTTATAGATCCACTCAACATTTTTTGGTTACAGCTTTAGGTATGATGCGTGTCAATGCGCTTCGCTCAACTTATGGTCAACATAATCGGTGTATTGAACATACTATTCGCAACACCATCACCCACCTTGAGACTTAGGATTCATTATTGCATTATTGGACCGAATAGACAAGCCATATGTAAACCCGCTAAATTGCCGCATTTGGAACGAAGAGCAAGCTGAAGAGATTCAGGAGCTGCCCTTTCGGTGAGCAGATAATTTCATGATTTAGGCTGGTCGATTAGCCAACAAAATCGTGTAAAATTAAACATTTTGTTGTGTGGTAATCCCGCCTTGATTCAGGTCTTGGGTCACGCGTCTCATTCGCCAGTTACCTGTCGAAATGCTCGAACGAGTCATCGAAAATTGGACTCAATAGATGGACCATCTTAAAAGTAGCCGCTGTCAATATTTGAAAGAATGTTATTTCAAATGTTAACAAATATTCCCCATTTGAAGTTTTTGAGATTTTCTTTAAAAAAGTAGGGAACTTCGAAATGGATCGCTCTTGATTAGCTCAAAACCAGCACATTTTAAGACGATAATAATGATTCGCCTATAAATATCCATGTCAGTGTCCGGATCAGGAACTGACATATGTATAGAATAAATAACTGTAACAATATAATATTTAATAATACAACAAAATAATATTATTGAACTATAAGGGCACTGTTGATTACGTCATATGTAACTCAAATATCTCAGCAATTTTTCTCGCATGTGAACTCTAAATTTGTACACTTAAACACGCAACAAAATCTCTTTGAGGAAATATAGCGATTACGATAAATTTCTATTGATAAAAACATACAACAACAAGCGACGGCTGCTTAAAAGCTACTACAATAATAAAAGTTAAGTAAATGAGTAAAATAACAATAAAAAATTATATTAAATAGCTAAACATTGCCGAACTCGATAGCTGTGGGGCAACAAGAAATATCCTATAGCATAATGTAAACGGATATGTGTATATGTACTTATAGAATATATACATATGTGCATGCATGTGAGCTTTGGTGTATATTTTTATAAACACTCATAAATAAATATAACTCGCAAGTATTTTTCGTTGTGTTGTCTCGCCCCCGCAGCATTGATAAGCAGCAAGTAACGCAGCGCTTCGCACGTGTGCGAGTGTGCCTTGAAATAGGAGCTGACTTGGCCAGACCAACAACCGCAAACACAAAAGTTGCGCCCCACCCACCCAAGTTAACGGAGTAAGCACACGAACTGCGAAATAGTCATGGTGGCGGCAGCAGAGCTGAGCAGCCGCATGTGAGCCGCCAAAGTCTGTTTGCTTCGACGTTTTCTGTTTGCGTTTGCATTTTGTGCGATTTCGCACGCAAATCATATACACTTGACTGTTGCGAATGGCAAAAGGTTTGTTGGGCTGGCTGACTGCTTGACTGGCGGCAAGCAGCTCATGGCAGGCAGCAGCCAGACAAACATACCCACTGTGACTGTGGTCGACTGCCGCCGTGTTTGTTGGCCACTCACAATCAGGTTGTTTAGTTAAGTTTCGAGTTGTTGTTTTGTATGATTTCGTTGTTGTTCTTGTTATTGTTGTTTTTGTTATTAGTACCTTGGCAGCTCCTTTGGTGGCTGCGTGCTTTGGGTAGTGTTTTCTGTTTATTTTTGCTGTTTTATTTGGTTAGCGTGTTGTGTGCTGGCGCTTGGCATGTCTTCCTCGTTAGCAGCGATTTGCAACAACACTGCTTCAATATTTGTATGTATACATGTCTTTATTTGTGTAGGTGTAGTGTTAAATGGCATTTAACACGCACACATGCCTGCTGGCGCCAAGTTAACACAAACACAAGCAATCCTTCACTCAAACAATCGACTTTTTCGCTCAATTTGTCTTCGCTGTTATTTAACAGCGCGCTTACAGTAGTTTTGGAGTTAAATTTGTGGCTCTCGCTCTTAACAGTAGTAATTACGCGCTCGCATTTTACTAAGCGGCACTCTTAAAATAAGTATTACTCTCCAGCACTCGAGGAATTTTGTGTTAGAAAAGCTCATTTTGGCTAAAAAGGAAACAACAAAGGAGGAGAGCTTTCAGTTTTGAATGTACAAGGATTTCTTTCGGAGAAAGAGTTGATATCACTGGCCTTGTTGCTGGATTTTAAGTAGCTATGGGGTTGACATATGCGCTACATACTGCTTCTACAAATAACGGTTAACGATTTTGTCATTGGTAACAGACATACATATAACTATCATTATTTGAATATTCATTCATTCCTTGCAAATTGCACCAACCATATTAGCTGTGTATGTGAATTTTTTTTATCAATGGCGGAATTAATATGCGCGAAATGTGGTCGTGTTGAAATTATTGTGAGGGGAGTAGTTATTTATAAGCAGAGGGGAGTAACTGCAATTCAACTTATTTTTCACATGTGTTCGGGTGTCACCGAACATTTTATACTCTCGCATGATAAAGTGATAATCGAGATTTCAGGCGTGGTTGTGAACCGATTTCATCCATATTTGGTATATGTCATCAGGGTATTAAGAAAATATTATATACCGAATTTCATTGAAATCGGTGGATTCTTCCTGAGATATGGTTTTTGGTCCATAAGTGGGCGACGCCACGCTCATTTTCAATTTTTAAAAAAAGCCTGGATGCAGCTTCCTCCTGACATTTCTTCCATAAAATTTAGTGCTTCTGACGTTTTATGTTAGTCGGTTAACGCACTTTTAGTGATTTTCAACATAACCTTTGTATGGGAGGTGGGCGTGGTTATTATCCGATTTCTTCCATTTTTGAACTGTATATGGAAATGCCTAAAAGAAACGACTCTGTACAGTTTGGTTGACATAGCTATAGTAGTTTTCGAGATGTGTGCAAAAAAGTTAGCAGGGGGCGGGGCCACGCCCACTTTCCAAAAAAATTACGTCCAAATATGCACCTCCTCAATGCTCTGCAATCACTTGATTTTAATCGATTGGTTTTGTTTTTCGGCGGTTCCGACAAGAGTGAGCAGCTTCTTGGGAAGAAAAGGAAGTATGCAAAGTCTCACATTGATATGTC